CACCCTAGAATGTCAGGGCATTGCCATCCGGTCAGGCGATGTTGAGCTCGAAATATTTAACGTTTATATACCCTGTGTCACCTGCTGCCCGGTAGGATATCACCCTGACATAGGTGCGCTCCTCAGAGGTGAAAACCGTATGGTAGTAGGCGACTTTAATGCGCACCATGATCTTTGGCACTCAAGCCTGTCAAACGATCGTAGGGGAACTGACTTGGCTGAGCAGATAGACGATTCGACATTCTGCACAATGAACGACGTCGCACCCACCAGGATTATGGGCAGCTGCTGCAGCTCGCCAGACATCACAATAGTCAGCGCTGATCTGATAAACAGCATATCATGGCCACCTATGCTGACTTTGGCATCAGACCACCTGCCCAACCGACTTTGCTTCCGCGGAGCACCGAACATATATCAACTTTTCAAAAGCTGATTGAAAAGGCTTCGCGGAATTTACTGAAAACACCTTCGCTGCCTTCCCCACACCAATCGACGTCCACCTTGGTGAACGTAAGCTCCGCGAGCTGTCACCGCTGCTGTAGCACGCTTCGTACCGGCAGGATGCATCACTGACCCACGTCTAAATTTCCCTGCTGAAGCGGCTGCTCTAGCTGATGAGCGTGACAGCCCGTATCAGGGATCTCAACGCGGAGATTCGGCAACTAGTAAGCGTACATAAGCGGAAGAAGTGGGAAGAGCATCTGAAGACCTGCAACCTCACCTCTGGTGTGAGTAAGCTTTGGTCAACCGTGAGGTCACTGTCCAATCCGACGNAGCCTTCGTCAGGCCGATCCCGGAGATCCCCGTATCAGGGATCTCAACGCGGAGATTCGGCAACTAGTAAGCGTACATAAGCGGAAGAAGTGGGAAGAGCATCTGAAGACCTGCAACTTCACCTCTGGTGTGAGTAAGCTTTGGTCAACCGTGAGGTCACTGTCCAATCCGACGAAGCATGACGACAGAGTCGAAATTTCTTTCGGCGACCATGCTTTGTTGGACCCGGAGCGATGCGTGAGCTATTTTAGCCGCCAGTTCATACTGCATCCTCCGGTGGACAAAGCCAAGCGTCGAGTGACCAGAAGGCTGCACAAACTGCCAACAACCTGTGCCCCTGTGCCTTGCTTTCACTTGCGGTGAAGTTCAGGTGGCCATCGGGGAGGCGGCTCCAAAGCCATGGGTCCCGACGGAATATGCATGCTGATGCTGAAAAATTTGGGTCCTGCGGGGGTAGCGTACCTAACGGAGGTCCTCAATTTGTCCATGGCCACTCTCATCATCCCAGACATCTGGAAGGTGGGGAGAGTGGTCCCACTGCTCAAAACGTGGANTGAAAAATTTGGGTCCTGCGGGGGTAGCGTACCTAACGGAGGTCCTCAATATGTCAATGACCACTCCCATCATCCCAGACATCTGGAAGGTGGGGAGAGTGGTCCCACTGCTCAAAACGTGGAAACCAGCATGGTTTCCGTAAAGTGCACAGTACAACAACAGCACTTAACGCCATAAACACTCAGATAACTCGTGGCCTTAACCGTAAACGTCCCTGTGAGAGAACGATTCTAGTAGCTTTGGACCTGTCAAGGGCGTTTGACACCGTTAGCCACTCCACGCTACTAGAAGATAGGGGGGCTTCCTCTCTCCCACAGAGGCTCAAACGGTGGTCGGCGAATTATGTGAATGGTCGACACTCGTCGGTAATGTTTAGAAACAAATCGAGCAAACTCAGAAAAATAAAACCGGGGGTTCCACAGGGTGGTGTCCTTTCCCCGCTACTGTTTAACTTTTACATTTCAAAGCTCCCTCAACCACCAGAGGGAGTCTCGATTGTCTCTTACGCCGACGATTGCTCGATCATGGCGACTGGGTATGGAATTGATGACCTATGTTCGAAAGTGAACGGATATCTCTCTGAACTTTCTCGCTTCTTCACTGCAAAGTGTGTAGCCCTCTCCCCTACGAAATCCTCTGCGACCCTTTTAACAACCTGGACAAAGGAGGTCAGGCTACCGCTAGGAATTCACTTCGATGACACACCAATTCCGACGGTGAATAATCCAAAAATTCTCGGAGTAACATTCGACAGCCTGCTCTCCTTCTCTGCGCACGCAACCGCTATTGTCAATAAAGTACAGAGCC